ATAACACCCAATGTACTTGCTACATCGCTAGAATAATGGCATCTACGCTAATATTAGTCTGTTTCTTTCTTATTCCGAGGTCCCCGTAGCCACCAGATCCAGTCTGTATCCAGATCAGATGGTCACTGCAGTCACCCGGATTCAGTACGTATTCAGATCAGATGGTGGATCAGCACCTAGAAAGGACCTCCACAGCCCTGAAAGACAGCGGAGACCAGGACAACTAGATGAGCCCCAGATACAGATCCCCTGTAAAGACCTTGTCTCAGACGGCCACCGGGACAAGACCACAGGAGCCAGTTGAGTCCTCTGCACAATGTGACTTTGCTGCAGCCTGGAATTGAACTGCTGGTTTCATCTGGCCAGAGGAGAACTGGCCACCCAACTGAGCCTGGTTTCTCCCAAGGTTTTTTTCTCCATTCTGTCACTGATGGAGTTTTGGTTCCTTGCCGCTGTCGCCTCTGGCTTGCTTAGTTGGGGACACTTAATTTCCAGCGATATCATCGACTTGATTGCACAGATACTATTTAAACTGAACTGAGCTGGATGATGACATCACTGAATTCAATGATGAACTGCCTTTAACTGAAAATTGAGTGTTTACTATTGTCATTTTGCATTATTGACACACTATTTTCCTAATTAATGCTGTACAGTTGCTTTGACACAATCTGTATTGTTAAAAGCGCTATATAAATAAAGGTGACTTGACTTGACTTGACAATAAGTTCAGGAAAGAGAGTCTTCATTTTGAGAGAATGAAACAGATGCTGCTGGTCCCTCAGAGCCATCGAGAGATCTAGAGGTTCCTGAGTGTAGTTCTCCTTCAAAATGTTCTCGTAAAACTCAGGGGTCTCGGACTCTTCGATGGGCCAGCGGTTCCACTCCATTGAGCAGGAGACAACGCTGGCAGGACACACCGTCAAATGCTTAGCCAGGCTTGAGCGGCACATAGTGAACAGGCAGCCATATTCGACATTGAGACAAGGCACCCTTTCATTGGGGCACAAGAGCATGTGCTCTTCTTCCTTGCACAGGTGAAACAGCACTGCACAGCAAACAGCAGCTCATGATCGCACATGACACACAAATCTCAATTGGCGTCTTGCAGCGCCGGCTGTGGCAGCTCTCACAGTGGCGATGGAGCTTGGATGTTTGGGTTCTTTGTCTACCCTGTGAAGAAATGCAAAGTTTTTACAATGTTTTAGACTGGACAGAAACTTTGTAAAGTGTCTTACCATAACTACAAGCGAATGTCAATGACATGCTAGTCAAATCTTAGATCTAGAAGAATAGCATTATATAATTAATACTGTA